TTTTTAATCTGGCCCCATTAAGATGTTCTGGTAGCTGGGTTCGGGGAAATCCAAGGTAGACTGGACACCATTATTTCCAGGGCGATGATAGGTTTTTTTTTTTTTTTTTTTTAGAAAAATAGGTGGAGAGTTCACCTAAGGAGGAGGGATAACTAACTATATTAAGTGGTGCACAGGCACTCTGTCTTCAGTTCGGATCCGGGTCTGACCTTGCTTTTATTCTTGTAAAAGATTAAATTCTTTTGCATTGGACTCTGACCATTTCCGGTTGGTACAGCGGTCTACAAGTTAGCATGCTAGTTTTAGCGTTAAGTTTAAAGTACCACTGTGTCTAAATACAGACTCACAGCTGCAGGGCTATAGTCTCCTTTTTTGACAGGCAGCCTGATGTCCACCATCCCACCGCCATAGCTTTGCTTCAGTGTGGTGGACACTACCTCAATCCTACACGTCTGTGTAGGATTAATATTTGGATCTGCACCAAATTAAACAAAGTCATAGATCTCAACACCAAAAATGTCCAAGTGTTCACAGATCACTATTCATACCCCATTTCCTCACGAAAATGTCGAAAATGCCCTATTTCACGTGCAAGTTTGGTGCAAATTAATTCAATACTTTTCTGCGTAATTCTGCTGACTGGCAAACCAAACCTCATGGCGCTGCCAGAGCAGAAACTGTTATCTTAGTGGTGACTGACAAACTGAATTGAAGCGGCAAACCACAAAACCAACGAAAGCGTCACACACACCCCCTGAAAAAACACAAACAGATCAGGTCTGATTCAATATTTCCACTCAATCTCCTGATTTGAGCTTTTCTTTCCATCCAATATCTCGATTGCTACAGCCTCCGAGCGAAGATAAGGCGCGGTCTCCTACACATTTAAACACGGACATATCCACCCACCTGACAGCACAGGCTATTGTGCTCCATGGTCACAAGTCACTGCAGCCGTGAGCAAACTAAAACTCCTTTCTCCGGACAGGAACACTTATACAAAGTTGTCATTCGCAGAAGTGTGGAAACTTCAAATCACATGTGCCTGCAAGAAAAATAAAAGTCAAACGCGTCTGCTGTCGACGTCGAGCTTGAGTCCGAATTCAGACGAAGCGACTAATTGTCCTGTGAGTCTTCAAAACTGCGGCTTCCCTCTGCAGCTGAGGTTGTTTTAAAGAGCGCGACTCTCTGGCCCCACCCCCCTCTCAGCTCAGCCTGGAGCAAGCATGGTGCACACGAGCTGTGTGTGTGTGTGTGTGTGTGTGTGTGTGTGTGTGTGTGTGTACATTGTGTGTATATTTTGACTAATTTGTTCCTATCAAATATACAAATGATCAAAATGATGAAAATCAACCTTTCTTTCTTTTTTTTTTTGCTACATAACATGGTGTATGCAATCAAGTGGTACCAGAATCCATTTGATGTTCATCTCCAGTGAACATATCAACTACTGAGTAATGTACACACCATTAGTTTTCAGAGTACAGTTCATCATGGTGGAAAGTACCATGTTCCCCTTTTCTCTGACAAAGGGCAGCATAGGCCTGGAAGAATGTGGGGGCTGTGAGACAGGCCTACACTACCCCGAATACTGCCTTGTCAGCACATTTGTGGCCCAATTAGTAGGATGATGTCACTGTGTTTAATTCATTATATGCACAGATTTATGTATCACCTTTGACATAATTTAAGTAAAATAAATTGTGGAATCTTGAGGTGCTGATGTGAAGAAGTGATCACCGCTGACACGTCTTTACTTGCAATCAAAAAGAAGTTTATTTACAAGAAAGAAACTGTAGTGTATTATCCACTTCATTTCCTTTATTTCAACATACTAAATTGCTGTATGTTTTTCTTTTATGTATGTTTTACTCTAAAGTTCTAGGAGATTGTCAACTAAGGCCTTGTCGAAGGTTACCTTGAACCACACGTTGTAAGTTGAGTTTGAGAAATGTGTATTAGGGGTCAAAACTGGTTAAACATTGTTTTTCTGTTTAATATGGCGAGGACGTGTCAGGGGTCTTTATAGCCTAAAAAGTCAAAGGCCAGGGACCAGAGACCATAAACTAGATCTTATTTACCATCTAGGTGAAGGCTTCTTCTTATAGGAAGATGTGCACATTCCAAGGGTGGGATAAGACAGATAAATAGAGGGTTTTGGAAACGTTAAAGGAGAGATCTCACATTGGCAGAGATGCTCCAGGATTCGGCATTTTTTGACACTGTTTCTTTCTTGTAAATAAACTTCTTTTTGATTGCAAGTAAAGACGTGTCAGCGGTGATCACTTCACATCAGCACCTCAAGATACCACAAAACTATGTAATTATACATTGTCTGTGTTCCTCTTAATCATATACCCTATCCCTATGTATTTAACATGTTTTGCAAAGCCTGTCTGCATCAATAGCTAGGTTAGTCCCACAATACATATTGTGGCATCATAAAATCAGGGAGGAAGGATCAATGTTCTATACTTTTGTACCTTATATTGAAAATGAAGTAATATATAACCTTTGCTTGCATCTATTGCAGTATGTAATTTTATATGAACATGTAACAGATACAAATAAGAGAAGTGGGGAAAATACACTGTGTTCTGAGAGTCTGCATGCCGGGGAGCCTCAAAAATAGGAAAAGTTCTTAAAGGGCAAGGGGTAAATTCCTCAAAACATGTCTGACATGAATAACAGGACCACTTCAAATATGGAACAGATAACAGAATGGACCAATCAGGGTGGGTAGAATAATCTGTAGAGTAATCTGGAAAATGGGAAGGGCTCAGAAGAATATACGATATAGACTCTGAAGGCAAGCCTCAGAACACAGGGCGCTTAGCTCGAGAGCAGATTCTCTGTATGTTGTGTTCTCCAAAGATCTTTGATAAATAAACTGCAGTATGACTTTTACTCTTCTCAAGTCTATTTCTTCTCGCATCAACCAACTCGGGGAAGTCTGTAGGACGACTTCAACAATATTCATGACATAGCTGATTCCTAATAACCTATAGAGGCACAGAGCCAACATTTATGCCCAAACATGGTCATTCTATATGAAGATAAAAGATACCATAAACTCTGTTATGTAAAACAAATGTCAGCTTTAGGAATGTTTTGGAGACAGGAACGGAAGGGGTGCTCACCCTCTTCTGGCACCTGACCTTACACCTAGAGTCTCCTCCTAAAAACACTCCTATCCATAACTCACAGAGCAGCTAAGAGTTTTACCAAACCAATACACCGTTAATGTCCAAAATATCAGTGGCAATGGCTGTGAGAAAAGAAAAGAATGACTGGTTTAATCCACAGACTGAAAGGCCGTTTGAGTAGTCTGTTGTTTAAATGTTGCATATGTGTGATGTGCTGTTGAAGCCTGGGATAACACACTGCTAGCGGTTGCTGCTCAGTAGTTGTGAGTGAAGCGAGTAGATCGTTCTGATGTATTGAATGACAGAATCCTTTTCATCCCTTTGGTCCTGTCACGTCATTTACCCAAGGCCTCTTGCTTTCTAACAAATCTCTAATTAGTCAGATTTGCTTATTTTTAACCCCTTAAAGAGAGAATAGTGTTGGAAATGACAGGACCATACCCAGCTAAGGCAGGGGGGAGGGGGCTGTCTTGGAGTCTGAGAGGTGTGAAGACTGATCTTGTGTGGGAAAGCACAGCTAGGGGCCCGATCCTGAGCTATTGAAAAAGGCAGGTCATTGGAGGGAGTTTGTGTCACAAAGGGTAGAAACAAAGGGTAGAGCTCACAACTGCAGCATGCACCAGGGTGCCTGTCTCTGGCAAGAACATCGCGTAAGAAAACATTGCTGCCTCATTGACATTCTTGCATCACAGCAACCAAAATTCACTAGTTATGTAAATTATGTTTATGGTTTTTCTCTTCACTCTCTTTTCAGCATCACAGAGCACACAGACCTGAGCTTCCTTCTTCCCTTTCTAAAGATATTCTTATCATTATCAGAACAATCATCAACAAACAAAATGACGATAAGTTGATGTTGGAAAAATTGTGATACAGACATGTTGTCACATGAGGAACTGCATGTATCCCGAAAATAACTTGTGAACTTCTTGTTGTGTTGTGGAACTATGCCTTATGAATCTGTCTTATGAAACTATCAGAATATGTACTTCTTCATGTGCATTTGATGTGACTACTGACATCTCCTTATTTGGCAATGAAGAGAGTCTCTATAGGATGTGCCTTATGTGTATATAAACTGTGTGAACTATGTACTCTTTGAGCAGCTGCACTACCAACTTTTCGTGTGTAACTTGCTCCTTTGCAGCAAGAATAAAAGATCCTACTCTTATGAACTTCAGACGTATTCCTGAGTTTATTTGATAATTTTTCTGACAGTTGACCATTGATGAAAATTAAATACTGATTGTAATGGGAAAAAACTGTTTTCCTCCATTTCATGTAACGTTCTCTTTTAATGTATGAACAAACCGTATGAATTGATCTCCACAAATAATGTATACTTAATGATTAAGCAAGATAAACATACTTTGTACCCTGGATGAAAGGTGAACTGTCTGCTTAAACATGTGTATGTGATAGTCACTGTATAAAAGAAATAAGTTTGAGATTGGAGGGTGTCCAGACTCTTGACACCATTGTGGTTGAGAGAGGCTGCACCCTATTTGGCCAAATAGTGATGTGTTGATCTTTGCCTCTGCTTATGAACATTGTGTTGATTGCTGGTTGTTCATTCTAATTTGACATAGTGTTCGGTAATAAATCTTTGAATCTCGATAGACTGCTTTCCTCACCTTAGAGCAAAATTGCCTCTACACTGATGACATCTACAGTGATCAGTCTGAAAGTGTCTAAAGCAAAATGAGACAGTCGTGTAAACAAATGGACTTACACAATCTAAGCATTTTTTTTAGGTCAGGTCATTTAATCAAATTTAAGTTTGTGCTGACATTCAAATCATCAAATCATCGCCTCAGTTTTAACCTGAATGAAAAAGTAAAACATAAAGTTCACTCATTCACTCACTCACAAACACGCACACAAACACACTCACTCACAAACACACTCACTCACAAACACACAAAGTCCTAAATTGCAGTTGACATGTGGATGGAGACAAAAACGGGAGACGGAACAACCAGTTGACCAACAATGGTTAAAACACTGGGAAGCTGGCAAAAACATTTGGGAGTTTGGACTTTTCAGTGTTATCCTGGAAGACAACTGACGCCCTACAGGGGTCATTTTAACAGCAGAAAACACAGAAGGCATCCTGACATTTGAAAGTAAAAACAGCTGTAAACTATCTAAATATAACCTTATTCTAACTTAAATGATCACTTATTTTCACCTGTAGATGAGCCGTAACTCTCAGAAACAAATGTAACTTTCCTCCGTCACAGTATATCACAGTGAGTGATGACCGACTCCTTGCTCCGGGAAGACTGCCAGGTATTTTAGAAGAAGAAGCTGATACCCAGTGAAAAGAAAAGAAAATTTCACACACAACCACAAAAAGTTAACAACAATAAAAGTCAGGGAGGAGTGTTGAATGTAGAGATTGTGGAATGAGGCCTTGATTTGTTCTCTCACACAGGAGTGCTTTTATACCCTTCAAAATAAAATAAAAATCACATGAAACAAAATGTAAAGAACTGGATGGGAAAAGAGGTAACAAAAAAATTATTCACTGTCATCATAGTCCTCATATTAAATGTTTTCTTTCCAACTTTTAGTTTTCAGACTCATTTGTTTCTTAAAGGACAAAACACCCTTTTACCATCTTCTCAGTCCTCAATATAAAAACACAAAATCTCTTTCAGCATGTCCCCCACTCCACCTTCACTTACAAGCCCATCTTCTTCTACTGTACCACCCACATTTTCCCAACTGTCTGACCCTTCACCCAAACCCTTGATCTGAGTTTTACACTCAGTCCCGTCATAGCTCATCATGGGCGGCGGCTTCATCTGCTTTAAGCTTGAACTCTGCCACTGTGATTTTTCCGTCTCCATTTCTGTCCTGGTTGGAGAACATGTTGTCAATGATGCGGTAGGGATCAAAGCCGGGAGCCAGGCGGCCTTTACCCTCGCTCACCTGCCGCATGATGTAGTCAGTAAACTGTGGAGACAAAGAAGAGATCAGAGAGGGTAAATTAAAGATAATGTGAGGACGTTGTGATTATGATATGTTTTTGTCTTCGCACTGACTTCACAGTTGAAGGATTTTATTTCCTCACTGTGTTAAAAACATTACAGGAACAACAGGTACATCATGTACCTCAGAGGGCTCCACCAGCTTGTCGTCGTCTTTGTCCATCTCCGTGAAGAGGTCAGGTGACACATCTTCGTTCCAGATGAACATGTAGCCTTCAGGAAGTCCTTCCTCCATGTCTACCAGCTCGACGTCAAACACCAGCACAGCACTACCTGGGACTTCATCAGCTGCACGCACACACACACACACACACACACACACACACACACACACACACACACACACACACACAAGGGCCTCAGTAACTTACTGGTAAGTGCATATCAGTCATCCAGCAGCAAAAGACAAACTGATGTGTGTGTGTGTGTGTGTGTGTGTGTTGTGTGTGTGTGTTGGGTAGTGTTTGTGTTGTGTGTGTGTGTGTGTGTGTGTGAGTTTGAGTTTGAGACTTACTAACTCCTCTCTCTCCATAGCCCAGGTGAGGGGGGATAACAAGGTGCCTTTTCTCTCCCACACACATGTCCATCAGTCCATCCTCCATCCCTGGGACTACCTGGTTGGCTCCCAGGACAATGTTGTATGTCTTTGCATAATTATACCTGAAACAAATTGAGTCAGAGTGAATAACTGTACTGTACCTTTTTTTCACAGATTTTGTGTGTATGTACATCAGATGATAATTTCAGAAAACCTTCCATCTTATTCCACAGGATTTACTGTGCGCAAATGTAAGAGGTTATTGTTTATCAGTGTTTTGGTTGGTGAGAGGCCAAATGTGAGCTAATGGTTAAGGATGAGACTGGTGTCAAGGACAGCTCAAGACATTCTTGAAAGATTAGCTTAACTTTCATATTCATTGTCTAGTTTCATATGTTTATATTTATATCGTGGTTTTATTAGTATCCTGTGTTGGATGCTGTGTTGGATGCTGTGCTGTCTGTCCTGCTTGCACTACGGCAACTTTCTTATAACTTTTGTTATAATGGCAATAAAATTTGACTTTTGATGCTTCACTAATAAAGGGGGAAATGAAAACTATTTTCATGAGGAAAGAAAATCTGTATACAACGGCAGAGTGCACCTACAGCGGAATTAAAATGTGGTGTTAAGACTAACAGCAGGAAAGGAAATAAATGCTCAACTTCCTCTTAAACCTCTTCATATTAATCATCATCATCATCTGCTGTGCTTCCTGTGCACGATGTCAAGATGTATTTAAGTGAATTTTGTACAATGGTCCAATGAGGATGAAGACGTCTGTGATCCCCTGATTTTCCTCTAGCACCAATAGCAGGTCCAACTTTTCACCTTATTTATACAAATGTCTTGACATCACACTTTTGGACCCCACTTTATACATATTTCATATAAGATGTTTTGCTTTCCCAGGAGGCCTTAACGGGTCTCACAGAAGTTTACTCACGTGGAGTCGATGGATGTGCCGTCCATCAGAGAGGCATTGTAGTGATATTTGATAAAGTCTCCTTTCTTTGTTTGCTTATCACACTCCTCCGGCTTGTAAGTGACTGTGACCTCAGCGCTGTCTGAAGGGTTGTGGAAATCGATGATGTGAATGTCAAACACCAGGACAGCTGAGCCAGGGATCTTAGTGCCTGAGGGAAACATGGTAAGAAAAATAAAGAAAGAATCCAACATTAAAAGCTTTAGATAAAAGAGTCTCAACTGTGATTTTTTTTTTGTTGTTGTTTTGATACAGATCAATGTATCCTGTTGTAATGAACTTTCATTAAAATGTACTCTCCCTTATAATATACTATGTGTTAAATCCTATAAACTCAATGTGTCAGCTATAACCACAACTGAAGTTAGTTCTGCATGTGAACCAGCCTTTGCTGAAGGAAGTTTGTTAAAGTATGTAGCCTGGAAGGAAGGAATAAAGTTTTTCTTTTTTCTTTTTCTTTTTTTTTTTTTTTTTAATGGTTGAAAAGTTCCTGGAAATAGCGGTGTCAGAAGAACATTTCCTGGCAGGGCCCAGGCTGGGGAAAGTGTTGTAGTAAACTTTCACAGAATGTGTAACTCAGTATTATAACCACACTAAATGCTGAACTTATAGACTCAATGTATTAGTAATGTAAGAAATTAGGCCTGCATGAGAGCCAGCCTTTGCTGAAGGAGACTTGCTGAGACATGTAACCTGTAACAGGATGATGTAATCTGAAAAGAGATTGATGTAGCCTGAAAAGGCTAAAAAAAAAGAAAGAAAAAAAAAGTGGGATAGTCCCCAGAAATAATGGTGTCCGAAGAACAGGTGCAGGGAGGAGTGGGGGGGGGGGGACCTCTGAACGCCTGACACCACTAAAATGGGGGAAATCCAGGGACGACTGGACACCATTATTTCCGAGGCAATGATGGATTCTTTTTAGAAAAAATGGTGTGGGGATTCCACCCAGAGAGGAGGGTTTGCTGGCTATAAAAGATGATGTCTGAGCAGTCTGTTTTCAGTTTGATCATCGGGCTCAAGTTTATCTCTTGTGAAAGAATAAACTCAATTGCACTGAAGTCTGACCACCTCCAGTGACTTATTTGAACCTCTTGAGACTCCAGTATATGTACATCTGAGTTGTAAGTTGAGTGTTGGTGAAGAAGTTCAGACTCAGATTCTGGTCCAGACCTGGACTTCTGCCCTGCAACAATCCAAGCATTGCACACGCACCTGTACCCTCTTCTCCATAGGCGAGATGCGGGGGGATGGTGATGGTTCGTTTCTCTCCGACACAGACTCCAATCAGACCCTCGTCCATGCCAGCGATCACGTAGCCTCGACCCACATACGTGTCATAGGTACGATTACGAGAGTAGCTGTGGAACAGAAAATATTAATTAAGTATTATTATACTGACCCATGGAGGAAAAAAATTAAGTTGATCTGGAAACTGAATATACAGTGTTTTTATTCTCACGGTATTTAGTTAGTTTTCATTTACTCAAATATTAAAGGGGGTATTGGGCAGCTCACAGAAGAGCACAAATGAATGACTCCTGACTCACTGAAAAGAAATAACTACAGGCAGTAGGTGAAGGGGGGCGGCCCAGTGGGATACAATTGTCTTTTTATAACCGTATACCAAAGCGATGGCATTTTGCTAAGTAACCACCCATACCCATGCCGCCTACTGATAACCGGATACAAAATGAGTCTGTTATGACAACCAGATTCAGAGCTGCAGAACAGTGTGTCTTGGAGGATGTATTTGTGGTTTTTGTATATGCAAACACACATTATGGTGAGATTTTCGTATACCAACAGCATCAGATTCCTGGTACCAACATACCCATGACGATAGAAAAAGTGTGGGGCAGGAAGCACACATGATCACTTTCTGTGAAAAATGATCTCAGTGTGCAAAAAGCGGGTCCTTGACGTCTGTACAGAATGTGCAAGGGAGTTTCTTCAAACTACCAAGAAATGATACAAGGCCGTACTGTTGTGGTTAGAAAAGGACACGGAGTCCAGCAGCTTTGGAGAACGTCTTGACATGTTAATTATCAAGGCAGGTGCAAAGTTTCCTTTGCTTCAAAAAGTGAACTACATGTTTGATATTTAAAAAAAAAAGACATATTTACATTTGTGATATTTGTTTCTGCCTGCATTAAAGTATCTGTATATCCTAATCCAGAGTCCTTAACTTAATTTAGGATATTATACAGTAGAGTGTTGTGTATTCTCTCTGTAGGTGACATGCTGTATACAATGATAAGAAATTTTGATTTTTAAAAACCATGGACTTATGATATTTTTAATACTTTTAAAGACCTTCCTTTTCATAGTTTAATTTGAGAGTGGCAGCACAAGAAGAAAAACATTGCAGAACTATTCAGACAATGCAGTATTATGTTTTGCAAACAGGACATTTCCAATGTTGGTTTTTGAGCTTTGATCATTGGTTTTGATTCAATACGTCTTCAGCACAGAGAGAGATGCTGCCATCCTGTGGCTGCTTAAAGAACAGCAGGCATTAAACAGGGAGAAGCTACTGGAATTGAAACATTCATTTCTACTTATAGCTCAAAGATTTACAACACGCCTGTCCGTGTGATTAATATGATGAATATTAAACATGGAAACACACCTGGAATCAAAAAACGTTCCATCGAGGAGGCTGCCGTTGTAGTGGTAGCGCACAAAGTCTCCAGCGACGGTCTTCCTCGTGCAGGACTCAGGCACCTTCTGATTGGTCACTGCGATCCCATCTCTGGGGTTGTGGAGGTCCAGGAGTACGACATCGAACACCAGAGATGCCTGTCCTGGGATGTCGCTGCCTGGAGAGAGAAGGAGGAGGAGGAGGGTTGAAGACAAGAAGAGAGGCAGGTATGGGCACAGAGATACAGCAGAGAACTGAGGACTAGCACTGAAATATTTTTCTTTATTCTTCTTCCAACCATGACCAGGAGCAGTCCCCCACTTTAACCCCGTGAGTCATAAAAAATAGGCTTAAAATTGTTTTGTAAAATATTATTCTCAAGGGAAATAATAAACCGTAAATCTTATCCCATCATTTTTGAGCCATTTTAATTTAGTCTATACATCCCCTTGTAAATCACTGAAAAAATAAATAATTCAAAGTTCTACAGAAGTAAATGAGATTCTGTGTGAAATCCCCCAAATCTGCACTTTCAGGTGTTTTTTTCAGTTTGTTTCTACATGATACATACATAAAGTTGTTGTTACTATAAATAAAACATGTGCAGTGTGTCCAATAAAACACTCCTGTACTCCGTGTGTGATCTATAACAACATCACCTTTCAAAGGAGTGGAAGCTTTTGAGTCACTCCGAGTGTTTTCTCAATGGAACTAATAATAACAAAGACGTTAATAACTCACCATCTCCATTCTCTCCATATCCAAGTGAAGGAGGCATAGTGATGATGCGTCTCTCTCCAACACACATTCCCAGAAGCCCCTGATCCATACCAGCGATCAGCCAGCCGATCCCGACGTAAGTGTCATATGTGCGCATGCGGGTGTGACTACAGAGAAGAACGGATGGAGGAGAGTCATCACACATTTGTGGTGGGTGGGTGTGTTTTTTCGCGATGGAGGGATTATTACACAGAACAAACCTGGAATCAAAGAGTGTCCCATCCAGCAGTGTGCCATTGTAGTGGTAGCGGACGTAGTCGGACACCTCCACCTTTCTGGAGCAGGTCGAGGGCGTGTGGTAAGTGTTGCTCTGGACGCCGTCCTCTGGGTTCCACACGTCGAGCAGCAGGACGTCAAAATGAAGGATGGAGTCAGGAGGGATGATGTCACCTGGAGAGGCGAGAGAAGCAAGTCAAACAGTGTTTTCAGGCACTTCCTTTTACAACTGACATCATCGCCCGGCTTCATTCCAGTATGAATAGTTTCACTTTGAGACAAATTCAAGGAAAAATGCCAAATAATTCCTTGTTCCAGCTGTTTAAATGTGAGCAGTTGATGTTCTTCTTTGACATACATGTTAGTAAACTGAATACTCACTGCTTAAACAAGCTATTATAAAGACTGAGAGATGAAAATGTTCATTTTTCATCACTTTCTGGCATTTTAAAGACAAAAAACTTTCCTTCATTTATCAAAATAAAATAATCAACAGCGTAAATGATAATGAAATGCCATCCTGTGTCACCAATACATTGTACATACAGTATATACTATACAAAGTCTGAAAAACTCCAATGATGCTTGTAGTAAGAACAACTTTAATTTGAGGCTTTTGGCTTAAATATTTATTTTGATGTGTATTAAAAGTGTTGTATGTTGACTGCAGTAAACTCACTGATCACATAATAAAGTTTTTCTTAATACTGTATGTGACCAGAATCTGGGCAGATGTTTTAACAATTTAATAGCTGATCAGTTTCACATATTTTGGAATTGTCCAGAAATAGAATCCTATTGGCTAGAGATAGTCACAGTAATTGTTATGAATAAGAATATGATATAACAACATAAATAAAATCAATACTGGGTTTTGAGATGTATTATAATTTTACCACTATATATTTAGGTAATATTCAAACTGAATTTAACACTCAGGACAAAGAACAAGGAACCGCAAACAAATGTGTGGAGTGGATAGAGATAATTTCCTCCTCCTCATCACGTTCATCGTTATATTTGTTAGATAAATGTCATGAGACAATAGTCATTTTAATTTTCTTCGAGCACTAGATTAACTGAGACAGATATGGACAAGAGGTGATCCTTATTTGATGATGTTGTCTTTGTATGCGTCTCTTTCTACGGATAACACATGAGCTGTATTATATTAAACCTGTTCACCTGTCTGCCCTGTTCTCCTGTGAATTTGTGTGCCAGTATGTAAGCATTAAAGTAAAAGATGCACCTTGCAAGTAGGTGAAATTGAGCCAGAAACTCTCAATCTAATTTGCATCTTTATCCAAGCTTACAACTAAAAAAAAAAAAAAAAGATTGAATTTATGTGGAAATACTCCTCAGACAGTTCATTCAATTATTAGTAAGGATTACTATATTAGCACTGGGTATGGCAACACTTGTTTACTTACTCAGGAACTGTGGATGGACAGAAGCTAGTAGTTAAAAGAAAAACATTTCTACTTTTCTCTTTTACACGGTCCCCGACGAATGAATTTAATAAAATTGAAATTGAAATGAGTCCAAATTCCCCCCAGCAGAACCCCTCCCACCTAAGAATTTTTAGACCACAAACCAAACTCTTTAGGAAATAGTAAAAAGAAAGAGTATTCAACAAAAATCCTACAAATTTCACATTTTAATAATTCATTTAACTGTTAAATTATATATTCCTTTCTTTACTCTGTCAGTTATGTAATTCCGGTGAATACTTAACTCTTTCTATTTTCATTTATTTAGTTGTCTTGCCTAAAAAAAGTCCACTTAAGATCTAAAATATGCAGGAATGCTGCCTTGAAGAACTAAACATGTGTGTAAGTGTGTATATGCAAGAACTCTTGTCCAGATTTACAGAAATATCACAGAGGACATGCCTTTGGTTTCCTCGCTGGAAGCTACAGCCTTGTCCTGAACAGCAAATGACTGATCAGTCAAAGCTGCACTGACTCACCTACATTTATTTTGGTGAGTGCAACATCTCGACCAGCTGTGTTTGCAAATGTGAGCATGCCATTCACAGTTCACGGATTTCACTCCACATTATTTGTGGGTATAAAATGTTTCAAACAGTTATCTCTCACTGTATAACTCCTGTTATCTCCCAGGAGGTGTAGCCGACTGTAGATAAAGAGCAGAAGGTGAAACGAAGGAGATGGGAGTGGGTGGAGGAGGGGTGCAAGGACTGTGTAGGTGGCAGGCATTAAATCTTTACGACTGATGAGCTGACAGATCCTCTTTCCGGTTTAAATCTCTTTCTACCTCTTCCAAAATCTCATCTCTCTGTTTTCCTCTTTCTCTCTCATGTTCCCTCGAGTGCAGGCCGGTAGTAGAGGATACACTCAGCTTTTACCTGTCCACACATGCCCCCCTCTCTTGCCTTTGTTCCATTACCTAAATATTTCATGCACACACACACACACACACACACTCTCACACACACTGACACACTGGTCTCTACATGTAAACAGAGCCTCCACATTCTTGTTCGCATCACTACAATCCTATACAAATATTTTCTGACACAAACACACACTTTTTTGGTTCACACAGATCACAATCTAGAAAGTGTATCTGCCTGCTGCTGGTGTTCTGGCATTTGCAGTGCATTTACTAACAGCTGAAAATCTTGCTCCGGAGCAGCTTACTCTGACCTGCTTCCTGGTCTGTGATGTCCCTGTGACATCATTCAGCATGGACGCCTGGGAGCAGCCCACTTCCTCTCTCTCTCTTCCTCTATTACAACGCAAACTGGTGCTTTCTTCAAAGACTGTAGTTTTTGTCCCTAAAGTTTCTGCCAGTGACCAAACCTAATTCTCTCATTGTTATGGCGAGCAGTGCCAGCTGTGTGCTCACTCATCTGTGGATTTATAATGACTCCTTACAGGAATATACACCAGCTTGTCCACAGAGTTTGCAGAGAACATGTTTTAGTCTGACTCCAAATGATCAGGCTGAGGCATGATGGGTACATAGAGATGTGCTGATATGAAGGGGGGGGGTTGTTAACACACACTCAAACATACTAACCATATCCCTTCGTTCCATAGGCGAGATGAGGTGGGATCTTAACCAGTCTTCTCTCGTTGACACACATCCCCACCAGAGCTTTATCCATCCCTTCGATCAGCTGCTTCTTACCAACAAACACGTTGTAGGTGCTGCCACGGTCGTAACTGAAACAGGTAAACACATTATTATTATATATATATGGCAGCACACTCATTTATTCCCTAGTTTCGGCCATAAATATGAGTTACCTTCGGGACCTGCTAAAAGGCTCAAGGTTTTTAACCAGTGACCCTCTTTCCATTTGTTGTGGAGACTTAAGAAAATAGTATCTGTACAGCACATGTGCAGATTTTCAACAACAATTTGGGAGGAACAAATAAATCCTTTATGTGATAATTCATTGAAGTAAATCGCATTTGGGCAAAACTTTTGTAAGAAATCAGAATGTCCAGGGTCATGTTTGTCAAAAAGAAAGAGTGAGTGAATGCACCAAAATCTCTTCAGACTGCTTGATTTTATTTTTGTCATTTTGTGCCTGAATCAAAGCTATTCATGATGTGAGGTCATACAGGTACAGTAACAGATTAACATGTAACCGCAGTCATATGCAAAATACTATATGTAAATATGTACAACCTGAGCATGAGGCCCCTCTTCAACACAGGGCCACAAAATTAACTAACACCGCAGGGTACTTTAGAAATAGGTTACAAAAGGTGCAGTTAATTAAATCATCAAAAACAGTGGGCATGCAGTGAAACTGGGGCTTCTTGGGCATTTGGAGGTCTGGGGGCCTTGGACAACTGGCCCCCCTTGTCCAGTTGGTGATTCACCCTTCCAGGTACACTACTGATGACTAAAGTGGAGTGCAGAGGTGCTGAAAATAGGCTTCAAACTCTCCATCTGACCACTGGAGTTTAATCTCCGTTGGTGATGTTGATATGAAAAGGTTTTGGAGCCCCTGGATTAAGTGTAGGCTACATGGATCTGGAGCTCAGTCAGCTCGCTTGCCTGCGTGGCTTACAGGGACGAACCACTAACTACGCGCACTTTTACGCATCGCGCACGCTGTTTGCACCGTGCACCCGGTCTGCAGAATAAACTGAGAGTAAAGTGATTCTGTTGCGTGATACCACCCACCTTGAGTCGAACTTCTTGCCATCCGGAAACATGCCATTGTAGTGATACCTTACATAGTCACCTACTTTGACTGCGCGCACGCACTGTTCTGGCACGAAAGTTTTCTCAATGAAGATGTCGTCTAACGGTACCGGAGGAGCGTTGCAAGCGGCGAACGCCACCAGAACCGACAAATAAAACATCCCCTGGACGCACTGGATCATTTTCACTGCCGACGAAAGATTACACGATGAAGATCACTGCGGGCTCGGCCTGTATGTGTATGCCCTCCCTGCTCACCGGTAGCCTACTTTAGTTTTCCTCTACTCCGACTTGGATAGATGTCCTGCCCAGGCTGCAAGCGCAGGAATGAGCACTTGTCAAGTCAAATAAAAACGCACAACATCCGGTTCAACTTTACAAGATTAAAATCTCGTATAATGACCTCATTACATGCTTTAGCAATTAAACACAACTAAACAAGGTTGGAAATATATGCACTGATGTCTATGTGAAGCAGAAACAAATTAACATCAAGGTTTAGGGTGGTTAGTGGTACTCTTATTTTGAAATATTTCCTGTCCCATTCTCTCTCTTTCTAGCCAGCTTGACGCTCTTTGAGATTGAATGGGGTAGTTTGGGCACCACGTATTGGTCCTGCGCAGTGCAGCCTCTGAGATGTGTCAACGTGGTAACGTAGGGGTCTCCGCTCAGCTGCAGTCACATCCCTCTGGATCCATTTAAATAAGAATAATGCGAACATCTGGCTACGCCTCTGATTTGCACTCAGATTTTTAACTATTAGCAGAACACATAAAGTCTGCTCTTAGATTATGGTGGACATGGATCCTGTTGTGTTGGTTGGGATTTAGGTCCTTGGAGGGGGTGAGGGGGTGAGGGTAGGGGGGTAGACCAAGCAGGAATGTTTCTACGTGGCAGCGGGAGGAGGAGGGACAATCCACTCTCCCCAGGGGTTTAATTAGTAGCCGAGAGGAAACAGGTTTACACTTTAGAAAGAAGTATTTTATGCAATAATAACCAGTTTGCTTGTAAATCCCAACTCTTTGCAAAATTACCAACCGAAATAAAGTGTAGAAATTGCTAGTTATGATGTTGCGTTATAAAAGGTCTGTGTTATAAAAGGTCTCGGGTTTTTACTTGTACTGTATATGGGCAGAGCAACAGCTCTGATTTACTTGTGTGATTTAGTGGGAGGAGCAGCTCCAGCAGCCCCCACTTGCCGGAGAGACTGATCCTGCCCTGCACCCGGGGGAGGGGAGGCTTTGTCCGGATACGTGGTGGAACTTGAGGCGGTCCTTGAGACCCACGCACACGGACCGTCCGGGATCATCCAACCCAGCCCCTCTCCACCATTGACCAAACTTTAAAAAATGGCACCCTCCACTTCTTCCCAACTTTTTGCTGCGCTATTAATCGCCCTTTCCATCTGTGCTGTGAACTCCCAGTATGAAAAATACAGCTTCAGGAGTTTTCCCAGGCATGAGCTGATGCCTCTGGAGTCCGCTTACAAATACGCACTGGACCAGTACACCGGGGAGAAGTGGAAGGAGACGGTGGAGTACATAGAGGTGTCTCTGCGGCTCTATCGGCTGCTGCGGGACAGCGAGGCCTTCTGCAACCTCAACTGCAGCTCCGTGAGGTTGGACGACGAGCAGAAGTTTGCGGAGTTTCCCGAGCTGCGGGCGTTCGGCAACGTTATGAAGAGGGCACAGTGCCTTAAGCGCTGCAAGCAGGGGCTGCCCGCTTTCAGACAGACCATGCCCAGCCGGGACACCATAGATGAATTTGAGAGGAGAGAGCCGTACAAATACTTGCAGTACGCCTACTTCAAGGTAAGCAAACATCTGTATCATGTGGGGCCGCCAGGCTGCTGGAAATGACCCAAATCCATCAAAATCAAACCAGCAGGACTTATATGGTATCACAGGTTTGTCTACTGTATGGGGACTATCAATAGCCTAATAAGTTGATAGCTTTACTTATTCTTCATTGTGGACACCAATGCACCCACCGTTTCTATTTTAATGTCACTGACAGTGATTTTTCCTGACGTCACCTACAGTACATGCCACGGGTGCACAGGGGGGGGGCTCTGTTCTGCAAAACAGGAGACCTGAACTCCTACTGGTACTTGCTTGTGTTATTATGAAGACGTAAAAATCTTTCCAAGGATAGAGACACTAATAAAATCCTGTGCGTGCTTGTCTAAAAAGGATTTCTGCAAGAAAAAGTCCCTGCTTGCTTTTGGATCACAGTTAATTTAGGGTTAAGAGCTCAGGTTAAAAATTGCAATTGTGATTACATTCAGGGATGTGTAGTTGTGACGGTTAAGGTTTATTTAACCCATACAAACATACATTTACTGAGGTGTCAAATCAAAGCCAAAAGGAAAAACCCGAATAATGTAAATGAAATGAGAAACATAACAAATGCAGATGCTTCCACACAGGTGCACCTGGTGTTCATTTAGGCACGAGTGAGTGAGGCACGATACAAGACCTTCATTTATGTAGGAAGTACTACATCTATTAAACAAGTGCAAGATAATGGTGGGGTGGGGGTGGGCGGGGGTCATTTTCCTGGTGTGGTTTGAATCCACTTTACCTTTTTAAGTACAAAAATTATTAAAGGTTCACTTAGGCTTCACGATTTCTCAATGACTTAAATCAAAACTAATATGGCAATGTGAACACTGAATGAGTTGTTGGTCATTGAGATCGTTCCATCTGCCAAGACTAGACAGGAACGGATCTCTTTTCATGGGCAATTAAATAATAAATCAAAGTAATTTATGAGTAAAAATTAAACCACAGTTTAGCCAAAGCCAACATGAGACTTGAGGGACTTGAGGGGCTACTGAGTGGCGTGATTTGTATGAAAATGAATAAATCATATGATATGGTCTTAGGTAATGGTTTTAAAAGAGTGTGGTTTCAGATAGTATTACTAAGCAAAAGAAATAAATTAAAGAGGTGAGGCTACTGTTGATCATACTCCGTCTCCGTGATCCAACTTATCGCGATACTTGAAACAGAACAGCCGCCTAGCTATACTGAGGGAGCTAATCTAAGAAAACAGCGCAAACAACAAAGACACCAATGTAACCGAGCGTTTGGGGTTCGGCTAACTGTGCATTTTAATATCAAATTAAAAAAAACGTGTCAGTGACAGTAGCCACACTTCTCTTTATTCCTGCCTCCAGACATGACCCCAAAGCAGTTTCCGACAACAACAAGCACTTTACGGTAACCGTACAGTAATGCCCAGGGGACACACCCATAGATATATTATAAGAACTTTTAATACATCCACACACCCATGTTCTTATAATACACCCATGGACAAACCTTAAAAAGCATAACACATAGTAAATACAGGAGAGTCTGTCACACTAGCATCGATGTGATATGCTCCACAGCAAAGCTAGCGGTTAGCAAGCTAGCAACAGCAACATTTTCCAAACAGATTCATAATGTCGGTAACAGCAGGTTAGCTAACATTATCGTGCCTGCTGTAGCTGGTCACTAATGAAAACACACATCTAGCACTATGTAGCCATTAAGGTACTTACACACACAGGAGAAGAAAACTCCCCGTGACCAGTCCATCTGTGCTCTGGTCATGTCTTTTTCTTTTTCCGGAGTCCTTTTTAGACGGAAATGTAGTTTCTTCAATGGAGGGAATTCTGAGAAGTGGATTCTACCTGAACTCTGCATATTGCACTGTGGCAGCTGATGTGCAGGCTGTCCGTGTGTCTTCATAAACTTGGGGAGGACCAATGGATCAACAGGAGGGACTCACATGCACTAACACGCACGCCTACATGCACTGACACGAGACAAGAGAGAAACTGATTACAAGGCGTTCAGAGGGGGTGTGGCTTCTTTCTCTCCCCAGGATGCCATTACTCCACTATAAAGTTGCATAGTTGTTTGCCGTTACATTATTTTTAAAATCTTGTTTACAGAAGCTTTAAACATTCAGAGTTATTCGGAAATGATACATTAGCGAAAAAAAAAAATAGGTATTGACAATATGTGTTTGTCTCAGTCTGACAACCTGGCCAAGGCGGTGTCTGCTGCCCACACCTTCCTGCTGAAACACCCAGATGATGATATGATGCAGAGGAACATGGCCTACTACAAGAGTCTGCCTGGGGCTGAAGAGCACCTCAAAGACCTGGAGACCAAATCCTATGAGGTACACACACACACACACACACACACACACACACACACACATACGAGAAGACTGTATGAATGCTGGGGTCACACCCATACCCACATGTCTTCATAAGTGCACACACGCAAACAATCCTATTATTGGCTCTGTGGGTATGCTGATGTGGTAGCTGGCTGTGGTTGGCCCCAGCAAAATGAGGAGGATGAAGGATTTTGTCCTGGTCCTGAGAGAAACACAATTTCATTCACCAATCTTTTTTAAAAGGTGATCTTTCTTTCTTGGCATTTTGCCTTTAATAAATAGTAAACAGTGTTTAGATACAGACAGGAAACATGGGGAGAGAAGGGTATGGGATTCAGCAAAGGCCTTCAGCTAGAACTGAACTGTGGATGCTGCAGCCACATGGTTTACATCTCAACTATTAGGGCATTATGTTGAATGCCAATTTGTTTCAGCAAAAATAAAAAATCATTTTAACTGCAAAATTGTTGCTTAAACATTTTTGACTTGTGCCAAATCTTATCTAAGGGAGATCTGTCATCACAAATTGATCTTTTTAGGAGCCATCAATGTAGAAAATGTATTATTACCCTGATGCAAACATAGTGATACTGATAATTAAATATACCATTATATTATATATATATATTTTATCATTGTCTTTGATAAGGAAGTGAATGTTAACCAAGTGTTTTAATAACTCAATCAGTGAATGAATTACCATTTAGTGACTGACTGACTGATTGTTGTATTTGTGGGTGTTTTTTGTCACATGGTACTCCAGACGTTGTTTGTGCGTGCAGTGAGGGCGTATAATGGGGACAACTTCCGTACCTCAGTGTCAGACATGGAGCTGGCTCTGAGGGACTTCTTCAAGGTCTACGACGAGTGTCTGGCTGCGTCTGAGGGTCCGAGGGACGTCAAAGACTTTAAAGAATTCTACCCCTCCATAGCCGGTCAGTACATTTCTACATTTAGTTTTTTCCACTAGCTGAATAGGCCCCTCCAGCCTGTTTTTCTCCAATACATTTATGTTATTATTCAATTTCATCCAATTTTTTAATGTCATTTTTCATCTCTCTGAAAAGTCAAGCAGTCTCTGTTGATTTCTTTTCTCTGCAGATCACTACATAGAAGTCCTTGAGAGGAAAGTGA